GTGATACTCACCTGTGCCTTCCTCACTCTAGTATTGCATAGCTGGTATCTTCCATATACTGTGAAAAAACAGTGACTTCCAGAGCTCTGCATGTTCTGCCTCTGCTGCTTTATGAGCATTTAACCACAACAGCAATATGCTTCATAGAAGTCCTTTAGCAATACGTAAAATCTTCATCCTAAGTGTACTGAACTTACAGGTGAGTTTTCTTTATTTTAATGGGGTTTGGGTTTGGCTGCCAGGGAACTGAATGAAGCTGCTTCTGACATTTTGTGTGGTACCAATCTGCTGTTCAAGCCCCTGACCACACTTCAGCAATTTGAAACTCTGAAGATTTCAGTGTGGAAAGGCTGTGCTTCATTACCCTTCTTTAAGTGGAGGAAACTTAATGTGTAATAGAAATGAATACGAAAACTGCTTACTTCAGAACATTTCTAGGCACAATGTGTTGTAGTAATCCATTTTCATTCCTGGTGGGGGCTTCCTTCCCAACACTTTATGGATTGAAAAAGACTTCATCTCCCTAACCCCCCCAGGATATATTAAGATTAACACTAGGATGCATTGGAAAAGGAAGTTTCCATCCCACAGAAACTTCAGAATTTCAACATTGGTTCCAATTTCAAACTAAGATGAGGAGTTGACATTTCAAAGCTTTTCAAAGTGAAATATTCCCCAGACCTTTGATTCACAAATGTCAGTGTTTTGTTTCAAACTGTGTCCACCAAACCTTTGCTCTGAGCTGTGGGTCAGAGGCACAATATCCCTATTCACTCCTTTGCCTACTGACCCAGGCAAGCAGTATCTTCCATGGTGCATATTTTCATGGTGAATTTTTAACCAACTCTGGTCAGGTCAGTATGTCCGTATGTCAGTGGTCATCTAGAAAAGCAGGCTTTTCTAGCTCTGCAGTCTAAGCTAACCTACTTTTCCTGAAAGCTGGGTCTCTGCTAGTGTGTTGTATCTTCAGCATAATCCATTGCAATGACTATTCCAAAACCTATTATTCTTCATTTTGTTCATGTTGTTCATTTTGTTCAAGAAACACCTCTGCCTTCCTTGCTAACTGTCTGCATACCTTGGGAGTGGTGGTGACATATTTTTACCTGGACCTTCATCCTTCATTGTGACTTAGTTCTCTGCTGCCTTGTTGGAGCAGAGATTTGGACAGAAATGTTAAGGACGTTACATATTCTCATTCCAACACAGCTAAACTTAAGTTTCTCCTGCTTGTTGAGACAAAAGTTATTATTCCTCTCAGTAACTCTGTATTTTTTTTAGGAGCACTTTAATATTTACTTGTCTGATCTTTTATTTTTATAAGTGTCCAACCTATAGACTATTTTCATGTAAGAGATAATAAAAAGTAACACGAGATTAGGAGTAATGTTTTTTGATTCTAAAGCATTGAGGACTCCGTTGCAAAGCCTATGTAGCTTTTTACTGAGTGTAATCATCTGCAAAAGACTGAAGAAGGATTTCCCTGAAGAAGGACTTCCCTCAGTAAGAAAGGGGAAAAACAAACAACCAAAAAACCAACCAACCAACCAAGCAAACAAACAAACAAAAAACAGTGAACAGTGAAGTGAACTTGGAAATATCTTTTCATTCAGGCATCAGTTAAATTAGTCATAGAAGAACCTTTCCCTAAGCCCCAGCCTGACCTTCCTCTGCCCCAGCTCCATGCCGTTCCCTTGGGTCCTGTCGCTGTCCTCAGAGAGCAGAGCTCAGCGCCTGCCCCTCCGCTCCCCTCGTGAGGGAGCTGCAGGCCGCCATGAGGCCTCCCCTCAGCCTGCTCTGCTCGGGGCTGAGCAAACCAAGGGACCTCAGCTGCTCCTCATGTCTTCCTCTCTGGATCCTTCACCATCTTTGTAGCCCTTCTTTGGACACTCTCCAATAGTTTTATGTCCTTCTTGTCTTGTGGTGCCTAGAACTGCACACAGTACTCAAGGTGAGGCAGCACCAGCACAGAGTAGAGCGGGACAATCACTTCCCCCCACCGGCTAGCAATGCCACGCCTGATGCACCCCAGTGTACAGCTGGCAATTTTGACTGCCAGAGCATGCTTCTGGCTCACATTCAACTTGCCATCAACCAAAACCCCCAGGTTCTTATCTGCAGGGTGTTTCTCCATCTTCTCACACCCCAGTCTGTATGTACAACCAGGTTTGCCGTGTCTCGGGTGCAGCATTGAGCACTTGCACTTGTTAAACTTCATGTGGTTGGTGGTTGCCCAGCCCTCTAATTTGTCAACATCTCACTTCAGGGTGATATTTGACCATTTGCACAGTTTTGCTTTTTTTTGTTTGGTTGGTTGGTTGGTTGGTTTGGTTTGTTTCATTAAGTATATATATTTATATATATTGTTGCTTGGAATCTTCTGTAATCACTCATAAAGATTTTAAATGAAAATTTAATACATATCCTAACAGCTCTGAATATCTATTAGGACAGATAGCTAGTATAGCTAACCAAAAAGCCACCTGAGAAATTTGGGGAGAAATAGTAAATTTATTTAATTTTGTCAAAGATTCTGAAAGTATACAGTTATCTGAGAGACTTTACCAAGTACAGGAAGATGTACATGTTCTGTGCATGCTATTTAAATTTTGGTGTTCACCTGAGGTCTCCATTTTATTTAATGTTTCCATTTGAAATACAGCATTTTCAATAAAATAATTATTTTTGTGCCATACAATGACAATGAATGTCTGTCTCAAAAAGAACAATGAACTTCAGTATGTCTTCCTTTTACACCTGAGATTTTCCTGGTGGTTTCCTCTACAAGTTGTGACCTAGCCCCAGATTGCTCAATTTATAAATTTACTTTAATCAGAATGCAGCCCATGGCAACATGCAAGTTGATGATTCACAAAGTTAAAAAAGGCTTTAAAGTAGTAAAGGCTGTTTTTGAAAGTGGTTGCCTCATCTCTGAGTTTCAAGTTCAGACCTTTTCACATTCATGCAGTTTGCATGTTCTTTTCAAAATAGGTGGAAACGTATAGATATGGATACCATTCTAGACTGAATCATTGAATTAATATAAAATATGTTATGGACAGGTATGGAAGGGAATTCTGGCCTTTCCAATTATGTATGCATTCATAATGCATTATGCATATGTATATATGCATATGCATATGCATTATGTATGCAGGACACTTCTCACCCTGGAGGTTAGTGATCTGTAGTGGTGCACTTGAATGAAAGTCATCTGAGTTGTAGGCATTGTGTCAGACAGTTTAAATCTTACATGGTATGACTGATAGAGTATATCTGTAATTGGAAGCTTTGTATGGAGTAGTCATTGTCAAGATAATCTTAATTTTGTTGCAACTGTCTAAGCATTATTTGCCATGGTGGTTTTAATGTGATAAAATGTCTCTTGCAGTCTAGGTGTGACCAGTTTCTTAAAGAAATGTATCATTATTGCTTGACTATTACTCCATTAGCCTATGTTAGTTCCCATGAAGACATTATAATGTAATGCAGAAGCGTGGTAGACTGACCCAGTTCTAACCCAGTAGAAGTGGGTAAAATCAAAGAAATTTAGCAGTACTTTTCATCAACCCTTAATCTAAACCTCTAATGTTTGAAATTAAATTAATTGTATCATTATGACAGATAACCAAGGAAAATGTTTTTCTTTCACTAGTAAAATAATGATGTTAGAAATGGGAACTGAATTGCTGAAAGCAAATACCAAGCCTTAATCAAGGCCTACATTTTCACAGCAGAAAACAGAGGAAGTGTCAACATCACAAGTACAGCTAGCACTAGCAGGGTTCTGTAATTGTGCACACACAAATAAGACATGGTAGTCTGATTGTTTAAGTGGGCAAGTTACATATGCAGCTTTTATGAGCCTGGAGGAAAAGTGTCCTACTTGCTCTTAACAGTTTCTAAGAGTCAACTTTCTGATTTTAACTGAAGCTCACTGATGGAGGAAATTTTAAAGCTGAACTTAACACTTTACTTAAAATTCTCCCCATTTATAGATACTCTCTGGCTTAGTGTTAGCACAAACTCCTTAGAAGCAGAACTTATACACATTTATTTTTTCATTGTTTACTTTACATGCCAGAATGCTAGAAGGCCTTTCATTTCCTAATATATTTAAAGATAATTATAATGCTGTATGGACTTGCTTAATTTATTGAATTTCAAGTGTTTGTGTATAAAATTCATAACATGGATCCAGAATTCAAAGTTCAAAGAAAAGGCCTATATTAGCACTGTGCTAAATAAATTCATATTCCATTTATTTAATTTTAAACCTATTAAATTATAAATTTGTATTTGATTATCCTGGGAACTATGTTTATGAATTGAGATGCCTGGCTTACTTATTTAAGTTTTAAAATTTTGAACAAAACAATTTACACATAAGTGTAAAGCCAGTTTCTAAGCAGGTAATTACACTTCTGACTCTAAGTTCTTTTGTTTAACCATTCCTTCTACCTTTATCAGATTTTTAAGTCTGAACACAGGCTTTGACTGTGTGGAGTAGCTTTATTGTCAAACATAATTAAAACCACATGTTTTTTCCAAATGTATAGCAGGTAAAATTTCGCTGCGATCTCAGCCATTTTACTATTATTTATCTGGGCTGCTCTATGCTACTCTTTTCTCTTATCTATGTCTGTTTTCTGAGTATCTGTCTCCCTACCTACTTCAGGTATTTTTTGTTTTGAAATTCTTAAGAAGTACAACTTCTGATAGGATCCTGACCACAACATGTTGACTGTGCCCTAAAAAGAACAACCTCCAACAATACTCTTTTCTTTCTGTGGACTGCAAAAGCTATTGAGTACTAAACTGCTCACTATCTCATGTCTGAAACTCCCATCCAGATTTGCTCAACCTCTTTCATTGCTAATGTACTTTATGGCCCTCTAGAGATGCTGAGAAAGAAATTGGCAGTAATTAGTTCCATAGATGGATCGAGCAGTTAGTCAGTAGGTGTTCACATTGAACTGCACATCTTTCTCTCTTGCCAGATTGTTGGCTGTGACCGCCAGCTGGGAAGCGCTGTCAAGGAAGATAACTGTGGGGTCTGCAATGGCGATGGGTCCACCTGCCGTCTGGTTCGAGGCCAGTATAAGTCCCAGCTCTCAGAAAATAAACGTAAGCTGTCCCTTCTAGTAAAGTGCCATGTCTCCCCTTAGTGAAATGTATATTTCTTGCCAGGTATATTTCACTCCACTCTTTCTCAGGCAGTTGAGTGGTCATCATCATACTAGATGTCCCCATTATTTCTTCCCTCTTGGGTTAAGTGACACTTGTTCAGACTATAGCTCTGGCTTTGTTAAAGCAAAAAGGATTGTGGAGAGGTGTCACTAGTGTATTCCCTATCTTACCTCACTAGCTGTTTGGGAAAAGCCAGAGAAAGAGAAGAGCTGGCTTCACCCACGTTGTTCTGGTAGTATTAGTTGACTGCATAGGACCCAGTCCATGCTGTAGTGAAAGCATTGTCTTATCTTGCCCCCAAGCAGAAAGGAGTCCTGAGTGGGGATGGTGGTGCCAACCTGACACAATGCTCCATAACAAAATCTATACCAGAAGCACAGCTTCTTCTGCATGCTAGCAGTCAAATTGTGCCTGCATGAAAGGGTACAAACACTCATGGACCTTCCCAAACAGTCTGAGCCAGCTTTGACCGAAAGTGGTGAAGTATCATGAGTGTGTTCCATTGATGGGGTTAATTTATCTGGACCCCCAGGTAGGCTTATCAGCCTGGTTACACCACCACAGAGGGAACTATAACTGCTTTGGTATGAGAGATGAAGCATGTCTGGTCATTTTGAAGGAAAAGTAGAAAGGTTGGCATGCCCTTATACCTAGGTAGATACACCTAAAAAAAAACGTTAGCCTGTAAGTCTGCCCCCATCTGTAATCAGTGGCATTAGAGTTTACTCAGACCTGCTCTTACTATTTTTGCATATTTCTTTCATTACCATGAAAATATACATGACCTGAAAGCTAAAAGTAACGGCATAGTATCTACTGAAGAGTGCATGTACAGTTGTGGGTTCCTATACAGACAGCATTCAGCTTGTGTAAAGGGTGGTGAGAGGAGCTTTTTACAAATTGTGCTGAGCTACAGAGGACAGGACATAGAAGAATAATTAGTACAAGAAAGGACAGATGGATAAAAGACAGAGAAGGAGAGAGGGAGAGAAGAAGGAGGAAAAGCAGGAAGGCAGGAAGACAGATGGAAGAAAAAGAGAGAAAGAAAGGGAAAGGGAAAGGGAAAGGGAAAGGGAAAGGGAAAGGGAAAGGGAAAGGGAAAGGGAAAGGGAAAGGGAAAGGGAAAGGGAAAGGGAAAGGGAAAGGGAAAGGGAAAGGGAAAGGGAAAGGGAAAGGGAAAGGGAAAGGGAAAGGGAAAGGGAAAGGGAAAGGGAAAGGGAAAGGGAAAGGGAAAGGGAAAGGGAAAGGGAAAGGGAAAGGGAAGGAAGGAAGGAAGGAAGGAAGAGAAAGAAAAAGTATTCTTTCTTGAAAATAAATAATCCTCATAAGAGTTTCTTTTCTGAGGCAGAACTGAATTTGGTGAGCAAAGGAAATATTTCACATAGATTTAGGAATGGAATTTCACCTCTCTGTAGCTGTTTCTCCAATGTGCATGAAGAGATTTAGAAAGCTCCAGGCTGCTTGAGTCTTGATAGTATCTGCAAATTTTTTTGGCAAACGCCTTTTTTATGCAATAATTCATTATTTTTCAGTTGCTTTGTGGTAAAATGGTGTTCTTCTCCTTTCTACTGAGAATAAAGGCACCAATATGCTACGCGCAATACTAAGATGCTAATGAAATACAGTCCCTAGTCCCAGTGGTTTGCTGTTAGAAATTGTTATATACATAGAAGAGTAGATGGCAGAGAGTGTTGTCACAGAGGGAGACAAATGTGAAAAAAACATGTTAGAAAATAGATTTCTCAGACACATTGACTTGCAAAAATCACTGTACAGAACTGAAGTAGATAATCAGACTACGTACGCAGTCCACGTTAGCCATTTGACATTATTCTTTCCCGTTTTGTAAAGATACATGTTGTTGTGCAATGAAGTATGAATTTTGAATAAAATAAAAAATAAATAAATAGCAAAAACAAATATTCATTTAAATTGGCTTTTCACAGATTTAAGGGCACACTTGCTTCAGATCCACATCACATGTGAGTTAGTATGAATTCTTTGTGCGATAGTCCTCAAAAAACGTTTTGTTCATTCTATGAAAATTTGGGACATTTAAGTTCTGTGAGCTATTTAAAATCTAACCTGTGTTTATCTTCTGTGTTTGTTCTACTCAAGATTATTTAAATATCTGTCACTTTGGCATTTTGTCTGTGTTCTAGCATCTTGCTTATTTGTCACTGAGAGTGCATCCACATAAACTTTTCTGGGATCGGGACCTGATCTATTTCCTGAAAAAAACAAATTACATTTGGCTTGCCAGTAGCTTAATTACAAGTAATTTATGTGAAATGGTGCTTGTTTCTTAAGAATGATATCAATTTTTTTCTTCATATGAACAAGTCACTAAAATGCTATGAAAGCAGACTGCTTTGTAACAAAAGAAAAATCAGAAGGAAAACATGCAGCCATGACCAGACATCAGCCAAGATATTCTGTGGGATCACCTTAGATTTTTATTTGTCTAACAGAGTATGGCATTCATTTTCAAGGACTGTATTAGGGAAATTGAACAGTGATCTTTATAGCAGCTCCGTCCCGATAGTCTCTGAAGTTGTTTATATCTCAAAACCACCCCAGACACTGTCTTGAGCTCATCATCCTGAATTAATTTTCTCTTGGTGTTCATATCCAGTTCCATTTTCCATGTTGTTTATATCATGCAAAGGCATAGGAAAAGGATAGTACAAGAAGTTCATAGAGCTTTTAAACACTTAGCATTTGCTATGGGAACAGCTTCCTCGGTATTTATAGAGATAGTATATGTCTCCCAGTGGTCTCAGAAACAGAAGCATAGGAGGGTAAGAGGCAATAGGACCTTGAATTCTCACCTATGTTTATGTGAAATGAGAAGCACCTGTTTCAGTGTTCTTATTTCTGTTCTTTTTTTTTTTTTTTCAAATGTTACAAAAGACAGATCATCCTAGCAATATCCTTTGTTTGTAGTCCTAAGCTTCAGTGGTTCATTTGTTCTAAGTTTGTATAAAGTGAAACTCTTTTTTATATCTCCTTTTGGAAAGAGTTTATGTGTCTTCCTATGGAGATGAATTACAGAGCTGTAAGCAGACATCTTTGTATTTACCAAGTAGTTAGAAAGTTGCTTCCTTTAAGTGGGGGATGAATTCTGCTGATCACTTTGTACAGAGTTAGTATTTCTCTAAAACAGTAATTGACATCTACAAGTGAAGTAGATTACTTTAAAAGTGAATTATAAAAGTGGCTATATTGAGGCAGAATAGATATTTATCAGATTGCTGTTGCCATGGTTGTCAAAAATAGATGCAGTTCTGGTTTTCAGTTAAATATCAGTAGTCACAAGAGAATAAAAATAAATATATTTTTCACCATGGGAACTGATAGCTAGACTATTTGGACAAAATCCAAATTCAAGATCCAAAACCAGAAGAGAGTGTTCTCTCAAAGGAACCTGATGCATGTACCTGACATACAAACTTTGTTTAGATCCTTGCATCTCTTTCACAGCTCAAGGACACTGTCTTTTCTCAGTTATCTGGGACTTTTCTTTGCCTTCCTATGGATCTTCTCTGGATGAAACCAACTGTCTGTTAACCTACTTTGTAAGTTTTCTTCAGAGTGTTCTGCATGGCTGCTCCATGATTTGCCTCTCTGCTTATTGTTTGTTGGAGCTGTGATTAAATATTCCCATGCTTACTTTCATATGTATCTTCACCAGAAATGTCTCCTTCTTATCGCTGTTAACCTCAGGGAATTATCCCTCACTGGCGGATACCGTGAAAACATGAAGCACAATAGAAATAAACAAGAAATAAACAGAAATCCCATTGAGTGTTGTTATTCACATAAAGTGTGATAAGATTTTAAAATGAGAGCAACAACAAGATCAGATAAAATATGGCTCTTGCAACATGATGGGGCAGAAGAGACATGTAAAGATATATAAGCCTGCATAATCTTTTAAGTGTTTGATTTTAGTGTGATAGTTCAGTGAGTTGTTAAGCACAGGGCTTATAACTGAGAAGCAGTCAAATATAATAAAGATATGAGGCTGTTTTTAACTAAGACATGTAAAAAGACTATTAACACATTTTTTGAAAAAATAGAGTCATTGTTTTCCCAGACTCATTCCAATAAATGTGATACATACAACAAGATGATGTCATATTCATGGATTGTCTCCCAGTTACTTGTCCTATTTGTTGTCATCTTGAATATTAGTACCAGGGTGGTAACAATAAAATCAACATAAGAATAGAACTGTTGTATACATTTTGTAAGACCTGAGTATTTCTCTTCTCAAACAGAAAATTTGAAATCTGTGTAGAAATGAAAGATATCTATCTTTGTTAATGAATGTGTTCTCAGAGACATATATGAGCATAATGTGTATTGAACAAAGTTTAACTCCAGTGTTTCAGAAGTCTTGGGTGACAATGACACTTCTGGATAGCTTGAATAAATGTAAATCAGATTTTGAAAATGAAGACAAGGTTCAGAAGGTGTAGGGACAAGAACCCAGGGATTACCTCTGTCCAACTCATGTGACACTGAGCAGTTTATCAGACTGTCTGCATCACTTCACTTTGGGGATTTTAAGAGGCCACAGAAGTACATAGGTATTTCACCCCATAGAGCTCTCCAGTATAAGAGTCTCAGAAGTGCCTATGGCACATGACTGAGTTTAAAATTTAAGAGGGTTCTACTTCATGTATTTGAAATATTGTAAACTTGGATGAATAAACATTCTATTTCAAAATCCCTGTTTCCTGTGGTTTTCCCTTTTCCTGTTGACTCTCTTTACTCTTCAACTTAAAATGGCAAAATTAGTAACTACTTTGCTGATAAATGAGAATTCTGATTTGTCTAGGTTGGAATAGTTTTCCTACTCTGGTCTGGTTTATTTTCAGAAAGTTATAGTCCCAGCCCATATTGGATGAAAGATAACTGCACTTGCATTGGTTGAATTAGCCTTACATGACAAAGTAACACACTGCTTTGAATGTGGAGCTACAGTTCTTGTTAGTGGGGATTACATGGCAGATGTGAGCACAGTTCTAATGAACAGATAGTGAAAGTGGCTTTGTTCCTCTCACGTATACCACCTCCCCCAGAGATGTTAGAAATGCATGCTTTTTCTCTCACAGGTAGTAGAATTAGGAGAAGTAGGCAGAGAGGGCAGGGAAAGGTGAATGAACAGTTTAAGCCAGCAGGTTAGTCCACCCACGTCAGTTCACTCTGGGCATCCAATGCACTAACCAAGCACAGAATTTGAACATAGGTCTGTAGTGTCATGTCACACCTTCCATTTCTGTCTCCCTTCAGGACATTACTAAGGTTGCTGCCTCTTCAGAAATGCTGACTTAACTGACTTTCACAGCAGTGTGCAACGGGCAACAAGTTCACTTGTCAGTTTAGCTCCAGTTGCAAAGTTCCCAAGGGCTTCATAGATGAACCCTTAGATCTTGCTCTAAGACATATTCACATGACAGTCTAATGGGCCTCTGTTTTTCCAGGGACTATATGGTGGTTGAACGGAAAGGGAAGCAGAATTATAGGAATTCTAGTCATTATAATAAAAGGTGTCAATGGGATGGTGTGCCTAAGGGCAGTGGGAGATCACCATATCAAATGGGAAGAGTTACACAGAAGTTGTGGAGTTCAACTGAGAAAGAGTCAGCTGAAGCAAGTAGTTTGGTTAAACATAAAAATAAACCTAGGCTTCTCTGCTTCAACATAAACACCAATTCAAAAGCCTTGGGTGTTTGAGTGGAACCATTGCAAAACAGACAGCTATTGGTTACTTTTGAAATCCAGAAATGGTTGTGAAGGAGATGAGAATAAAGCAAATCAACATGTTTGTGTTCTTCTAAGTAGAAAGTTTTAAACTGTATTTAACAGCAGGGTTCTTTTTCAGAAGATTTTTAATGTTCTCTCACAATTTATAGGTGTGTTATTTTTCAGTGTTCCAGAAGCTGCTTTTCTGACTTCCTTTTAAGCACTTATTTTATTGGTTATTTAGTAATTGATGAGAATTTCTCTGTTTGTTCACTCCATACACTTTTGTCTTCTCCACAGTGGATGATACGGTGGTTGCTATTCCCTATGGAAGCAGACATGTTCGCCTCGTGCTGAAAGGACCTGATCATTTATGTAAGTAGAAAAAGTTAGTATAGATTTGTTTAAGAAAGCCTTGCTAAAACAGTGCTCTGTTTACAATGCGGTGTCTGGTTTCCCTCTCTCAGATCACTGATTTCAACACAGGGATGAGTCCTGCCCTCAGAAGCTCTCCCTAGACCCAGTTGCATCAGTGGTACATGCTTATTTCAGAGCAGAGCTTGGCCAGCATTGCAGAATCTCTCTCCCTTCCATAATTTTTCCATCATTTTTGTTTGCTTATCCTTTGGCTGGCTCTCTTGGTGCCTAGTGCTTTTGTTTAAAATTAATAAAATATATCCCACTGAGTGAAGAAATATTGAGGACAGTAAAATATAAGCTTCCCTACAACTGAGCTTAGCCATCAAGCTGCTCATGACTTTAACACATGTTTCTGTTATGGTAGTCTCACTCACTCCTGTAGATACACACAAACAGAGAAAACCACAGTGAGAAGATCAGAAACAGCATGCACACATCAAACCATGCTCTTTAAGAGAGAGATTGCTCCAGGGAGTTAAGCCCATTGACTGCTGCTAGCCAGTCACTTGGTAGTTTTAACAATTTTTCCCTGCTTCTCCTGACAGGCAGACATGCATCGCAGCAGCCCCTCTAGGAGAAGAGTCTCAGTATTTGAGAATATGCTGGAAGAGCTGTAGGCAAATCCATTTGTTTCTGAACAGAGACTCTCTGCAATAGAAACTCTTACCTTCCAATGCAGTAGCTACTCAAAGGCTGCTTCATTTTTCATTGGCAACAAACACAATAACGTTGGTAAAAGGGATTTGCTTTCATAAAAAAAAATAACAAAATAAAATAAAATAAAATAAAATAAAATAAAATAAAATAAAATAAAATAAAATAAAATAAAATCCCCAGGCAGTACTGTACAGTATTTCAGAAGCACCAATTATTGTCAGATAAGTGGGGCTGCCCTTTTCCTTCTCTAAAAGGCAATAATGGCTTTCCTGCAGCATCGACCAGTTAGAGTCCTCTGTGCTTTTCAGTGTAAATACAGTCATTAGTGTAAGCAAAGACATGAAACACAAAATCATTCCCACTCTCCCCAGACTTCTTTTGCCTAAAGTGCTTATATTGAGTAGAAAGATGAGGTGGTACACTGTTCTGTTCAGTGTACACTGGTTGTGTTGAGAAAGCAATTGGTATGCCATAACCCTTTTATAATTGCTTGGATTTAGAGCTGTGAATAAAGACCAACAAATTACAGGTTATAAACTAATAAGAAATTATAGAAGAAGTTATAAACTAAGTAAAAATGTATTTTTTCTTAAAAGTTCAAACACTGCATGTCTTTCACTTTTAATTGGCCTTTTGAGTATACCAGTATAACAACTATATCTAGTATAGTTGTTATTACTTTCCCAGTAAATTTTTTGCATTGTTATTTTCTAGATAGATACTCTCTACCAAGGAAGAAAAAAAATCTTACTTTTATTATTTGTTATTTTTTTCAATGAAATTGATCTGTAAAACAGCTTAGAGAGAAATGAGATTTCAGCAGGAAAGACTAATCTAAAGCTGTCTTCACTCATGCCGTATCACATTTTCACATTTCAGGACACAAAAGATTTGAATCAGCGAGGTCTGCCTGAGTCATTGCTTGAAATTTAGATGAACTGCTCTGTGTAAACATGAATAAGTCCAGATACATCTCTTTCTTGTTTCACATGTCTACATGAATCTTTGTGTTCACCCATCAAAGGATTTTATATATGTATGAGCTACAGTCAGCTTGGGGATGGGAGGATTTTGCCCTGTGAACTTTGGTTGTGGGAGAAGTCAACAGGAGGCCGATTATACATACACAAGTCTTAAAACCATCTTTATCCCTGATGCATGCCGCCCTGTCCAGAAATAAATATAAGGCCAAGTTTATCACAAAAGAAGAGACTAGTCTAACTGAAAACCAAGGAATTCATTAATACAGAGTGAATTCTTAGTGTACAGCCTCAGCAACATCCTTCTTGAATTAATTCCCATGACCCACCCTGAAAAGCAGCCTAATTACTGCCATTATCTTTCCTCTAATTAATGATTTAATACATTCTAATAAAACTATTTCTCCTTTTTACTCTCTCTCAAAATATGGTTCCATCACAGATTAATATTTTTCCCCCATCTAAATCAGATTTTCACTTAGTTGCCTCTCTGTGTAGGAGATTTTGTATATAACTTCACAAATACATGCAGAAGGATTACAGTTTTGCAATCCTTCATGATGACATGCATTTTGAATAGCTAATAATGAAACAGCTTACTGGTAAACTTGTTTTAAGGCATAATCTGGAGCTGGTGGGGAGGCTAACTAGATGATGAAATAGGTCCACTGCCTTAATTGTTGGTTTCCATTTAATAAATGATTTGATGTGCTTAATATGATTCAGTACCAAACAGTATCTGAATTAAAGCCCTCTGGGTATGCGGAGGGGGGAGCTGTAAACACACAGAGAGACAGAGGGAGAGCTTAGCACTCCCTGTTCCTTCCTATTCTGTTGGATGGTTCAAACTACTTCTGGAAAAGAGGCGGGATTGTTCTGATCTTTCTTTCGTGGCCATCCTGCTTTCAGTTAATTGTCAGTCACTGCAACATGTGGTCAGTGACCCACCTCTGAACAGAGAGTGGGAAGAGCAACTAACTACTCCAGCACTCAGGGAGGAAGATCTGAGCCATGCTCCATGTAGGAGTGTCACTTAGAGGGAGTAAGTTAAACAGCAGCAAATATGCCTAACTAGGAATAGATAAATATGTCTGGAAGAGAGTAGAAAAATGCCCAATGGGTAAGGAAATAGATATGTAGCTAGAAATCTGGGGGCTGAGCAACACCAAAAAGCAGAAGGAGGAGAAAAAAAAATACAACGGGATGTATGGAAATGTTAATAAAACGTGGAAAAGAAAAGAGAAGCTATATTATAGCTAATTTAGGAGGGAAATCTGCATCATCTGCACCACCATTTTCTTCTTTTTACCTACTCTGTCTTTCTGTTATTTCAAATTATAATGCCTTACTTTCTTATTAATTTGTTTATATTTGCCAGATTTGGAAACCAAGACTCTCCAGGGTGTGAAGGGTGAAAATAACCTTAGTTCCACAGGTTCCTTCATTGTGGACAATTCTAGCATCGACTTCCAGAAGTTTCCTGACAAGGAGATACTGAGGATATCTGGGCCTCTCACTGCAGACTTCACTGTCAAGGTGAGGCTCATCAACCAAATATACTTCATAAAGCAGCAATATAAAATGACACAAGGTCACTACCAACATGGGGTAGGAAGTTGAGAAACAATTTTTGAGAGCTTAATTTGCCAATATGCATTTACCATGAAGTCTAGTCCAAGTTAGTTCTTGAACTTTACATTAAATTCCTTATAGTTAAATATCTGATGAAGGCTTCACTGGATACTCCTCAAAAGAGACAGTGTATGAAGATAAAAGCATATTAAATGAATTTTGTACAGAGAAAAGTTGAACTCATTACAAGAATATGGAGATTACTTTCTGTACTCTTTGCAGCTTGCTTAGTTTGTGACAAAAAGAAAGTAAGTCAATCTCTTTGGTCCATAATTTGTGAAATTTATGACAGTGTAATTACACAGAAGACTGTAGGAGTGAAGAATGAAGTCCCCAAGCTCCAAAATAAGTGGGATGACTTTTGTTGAGAAGTCATGGTGTCATTCTGAAGATCTGTTTTGTGTTGCACTAGCAATCAGAGTTAGATTGTTTCCTCCCATTAGACCATTTCTATTCTTCCAGGTAATATGAAACACATTGCTGGAAGCAACGGACACATTCTGTAGGAAAGCACACGTACAAAAATGAGCTTTTGGGAATTACAATAAAATAAATCCTTTTCCAGTAGGTCCAAGGAACCTGAAGGATTTCAGCTGTAAAATTGTAAAACCTGTATCATGTCCAGACTACATAAATTTTTCACCTTGGGCCCCAGAGGCAGATGACATTTGCTTTAAACTAGAGAAGATGGAAACTATAAGCTTGAAGAGTAAACTGGAAAATTAAGTAGGTAATGGGATTGGGTTTAACTGGACGGGCCTGGAATGGGTTAACTTTGGTAGCAGAGCCCTGTGGACTGCCCTCTAGCCCTCTTGGTATGACAGCAGCACAAAGATCAAGCAGAAGTTATCAAAACTGGTTCACAGAGAGAAGCCTCACCTGAAGAACGCATCCCTTCTGTTTGCAGATCAGATTCAATATGCCTCATTGAAACAGATGCTGGTCAACTCAAAATGTCTAAAACACTATATTACAGATTATATCCAGATGATGAAAATTAGAATGATGTAAACAGTACTGCTTACTTTACTTTACATTAGATATACCAGCTACAGATTTAAGGCAGCCTGTCTAGTTATAACATACCCGCTGTGGACATGGGCGCATACACCTACGTCGTTGAAATGATAACGGGAAGGACAGAAGGGTTGGACTGTGATCCTAGTATTTACACTGTTCTCTTGATAAGGGGGAAAATAGCTTTATCCCTTCGAGCATACATTTCCTTCTCTACCAAAACAAGGTAAAGTACGTTACTGAAAAGCCAGATGAAAGGCTTCATTGTGGTGCTAGCAAGCTTCCCTTACACAGCAGTATGTCTTTTGTGTCAAGATTTACTTGCCTGGAAAACAGCAACTTTTATGCAAACAGATCTAGATGAATTTTTACATGTATCAGAACTTAGAGGTAATGTAGGCTGGCTTCTCTCAAGTAGAGTTACTGCTGGGGTTAGGATTTTGGCCACTCGTCCAACAAGCCATAGCTAAGATAGAAGTTAAAACTGGATGTGGAGTTACATAGAACACTTGTGGTATCCAGACAATTCTAATCTCAGTTGTGATCTAGGACTGGCAGAAAATGCTGGTGAGAGAAATGCTTTTGATTATAGTCCAGGTTAGTAAAAGAAAATAAGGCTGGGGCTCAGCCTAGACTTCCTGGGATCTGCAGGGGCATGCAGAAAATTGTGCGTGTGCAGGCAGCCAGCTGGCAGATGCTGATGGGTCCTGTCAGGCTAGCGCCAGGACTGGATTAAATAATCTCTTTTGAACCAAGAGCATGGAGTGATTTACCCTGTGGAATGGAATAAGAAATTACTTCAGTGTTGCCTTTGGGGCTAATGCTGAAAAATGCAAATTTTTTCTAGCAACAAGAAATTACTTTTTTGTTTGTAGTTGGTTTATTGATTAATTTTAGAGATACTGAGGTTGAAGACAGTGAGGTTCATCTGTGTCCTTTAGTTCTGACATGCTGGCAAAGGTTTCCAGAGAAGGTTGTGCCTCATAGCAGGTGACACAGGAAGTGACAAAGACCTAGTCCTGCAAGCCCTGGTGGTGGTTAGGATGGTGCTCTTGTGAGTAGATGAGCTAGAGTTAAGACTCTACACACAGAAATAATAAGAGTTAAAATTTGTAACTGAATCAAGTTTTGTGTCATCAACGGCAAATGACCAAAGCACTTTAGTGCATCTAGGAGAGCTCATTGGAATATGGTCCTTTCATCATAAAGCTATACTACCTCTTGAGATATGTGACTTGCCTGTAGAGTGACGGTTCGACCTAACAGGAAGCAATTCTATAATGTGCTCTGCCTCACTAGCTTTTATCAACTTAAGTTTTCACTCAGAAGTCTGTGTTTTATTTTGTTTGTTTGTTTGTTTTGGAATAGCCATAAAAATGACATATTGCAGTATCTTTATTTCTGTTTTTTCTCCTGTTATGACAAATGTGGCAAAATTTATGGGAAGCCATATAGTAATTTTCTGAAAATAATGTATAGATTCTGTTTCATACTCACCTTTGTTTACTGTTCAATAAAAATGATTTCTTTGAATAGCTCTTAGAACATGATTATTCTCCTAAACTGCATATTCCGCCTAATATATAAATTCCACATAAAAGACATTGGAACTTTAATACTAGGTCAAACAAAAAGTCTGCTTCACTCAGGTTTCTGTTTCAGAGAAGGACTGATTCCATCTACTGATGGAAAGAGTGCAAAGAATAGTAAGTGCCATATTAAAAATTAATATAATATATGCACTATGGATTAAAATAGCATGCTCAAAGTTGCATTATCTTAATTTTGGAGCATGTCTTTGGTGCTGCAGAGGTCTTTCCATAGATGAGGGGGGTGTTATAAGTACTATGCACAGAAGAAATGCAGCAGTGCTGGTTCTAGTATGTTTAGAGTTGCCCTTGGTGCTGTGGAATAACTTGGTCTTCCTTGTTTAAGAAGCAGAAGCTTCTGTTGTATGTAGTAGTGGATTCTGTATGGATTATTGCATCTGACAGCAGCAGTAGCTGAGACAATAGACTTCATTGCTGCCAGCCATCCTAGCCAATTAATTGCACTGCTTTTCTGCCTGTATCTTTCTTATGGAAGGGGTTGAGAAAAGACGTAAACCTTGAAAGCTGTCTGCTTCGGTTTTATGAGAGATTTAGTCTAAAAACTTTTAAATAGTCATCCTACTCACATAAAGGAATACAGCTTTATCTAAGGTTGGAGCATCGTGAGCAAGTTTGTTTCAGAGATCATTTCCATAGTCTATAGTAAACTGGTGATAATGTAATTTCACTGTGATTTCTCTGGATGATTTAGAGGCTGGATTGAGAAGCAGCAGAGGGAGTTGTCTTGCATTTAAAAATACCCCCAAAAAGCATCTGACTCAATGCAGGACTGTCATGATCAAGGGACATGAATCCAGAAATGGACAGTACACATTCCCTGGATTTCAAAGGCAAAGGTCCCTTTAGCACTCCAGGGAAATTAAAAGGCAAGCTCAAAAGAATCATGATACAGTACTGCATTACTGTGTTACACAGTACACTTGAAAACCTTCAGCATCTCTGTGTGTTATATGTTATTTGAAAGAAATTTATATAATTATTTTCCCTTGCTCCTTTTTCTGCTTCATAAACAAAATATGAACAGCAACAAATCTCTTGTATGTCCTCATTCTTTTTCAATGTAAGGTGTTGCTACGTAACAACTGGAATATTAAAGTGCTTTAAGTAGATAAAACGGTATACAAAAACTTTGCTTTTACTGACATGAAAGCACAAAATTGCATATGCCACAGGAGGATAGTTCTCCACATCCTCATTCCCAGTTTCTTTGTATGTTACTTAGAAGACTTCAACAGTGAACTTAACACTGATAAATTAAACCTACCGATTTGTGAGTTGGCACTTGCAGAAAGTATTTGTAATAATAATGTGGAAAAATCTATTAGAACTTTCTTAATAAGCAAGTTGGCCTGGAGTTTGATCATAATATACTAAATCAATTTTCATAAGACAAAAGATAGCATGCAATAATAATTCCCTTTCCCTGTCCTTCAGTTTGTGACTCATACACACACAAGAAATAAATGATATCATTTCTATCTATCAAATCATCTATCTATCATATCACCTATCAAATGACATCATATCTCCCTCAACACAACAGTTTCATTAGATGTGAATGTACTACTGAATATGCTTATCATGATTTAACCCTACAATTAACATTGATAATTGCATGGTTATCCCTCCTTGTTATAAACTGCTGCTTAAATTTCACAACCACCAAAGCAGACTTAGCGCAGTTTTGTAGGCCAGTCTGTTGTATTCTTCAGCAAACATAAACAAATGCTTCAGGCACACGTAGCCAAAATCAAACATGGGATAGTTGGGTTTGGTGGTTGTTTTTGTGGGGTGGAATTTTATTTATTAATTTTTTGATACCTTTATTTTGAACCAATTGAATTTAAGGGCTATAGAAAATGCTTAGCACAATATAGTGAAGAAATAAGTTTCAAGGTCACAGGACAGGTCAGAACGATTCAGAAACATTATGCTGTTTCTGAATTCACAAATTCACTGTTAGCTGGAGGACTTCAGCACTGGCCTTTCTCATAGCTAGCATGGTGTTGCAAATACTGCAAGGGTCAAAAATTTCACTATACTACAGATCTGAGTATTTCAATGTGTAGAAGTTGGCCCTCTGCAGCAAAAATTTCTTAAAGCATATAGTTATCAAGTCTTACTTTGTGTCTTGCAAAGCTGAGGCTGGTGTTTTGTCCTGGATCAACATCTTAGCTTTAGCAAATTGACAAACAAACTAATCTAAACTGAACTAAAATAAAATAAAAATATTTTTGCTGTATGGAATTACCATATATTGTTCTTCTGCTGCTTACAGTACTCTTTAAAATAATATACGATACCGTGCCTGTTTCTTTCACTTTTTTGTTTTGTATCATTTTAGATCATGGCTTAGGTTCATTATAATTCTTTCCCAGCTACATGTACATGTATGTTGTTATCATGGCTGTATGAGTGACTTCCACTTTGGGCTGGGAAAGATGTATATCTGCCTTTTCTCTGTGTCAAAACAGACAGATAATTCTGCAGACACGCAGGAATAGACTGCAGGGGAAGGAATTCTTCTGTCTTCCTAATTTTTTTATGTGAATCCTTTTTCATCCCCATCCTTTTATAGTAGGCTCTGTGTGAGCTTTTAGTTGGTTCTTCATGATTCACTGAAGACCCTACCCTACTGCTGAGTATATCTTCTGAGTTATAAGAATCACTGATGATCTAAAAAACAAAGAGTAAGAGTAAAATTCTCCCCAGTGAACTTTTTTTCTGCACATTCAGATCAGAGACCTCCTTCCAGCACAACAGAATATTTTCCCCAGGAGTACATAAGGTTTTCACAAGCCCAGAAAGGCCCTTCTGAAGTGTGTGATTAATGCACCATCCCCACATAAGGAATTAGATATCCTGTTTCTGACACACAGACTCAAAGCGATATTAATCCATACAAAAGGCCTCCCATTTTCTGAAGAAACTGTATTGCTACAGCTGTATTTTTTTTAGTTTGGGGAGTTTATGTCACTGTTTACTCAAATTAGAAAAGGGCAACCTTAGTCTCAGTGGGCCAGATTTCTTTCAGCCTTACATAGCCTGCAATATTTTCATCTTCTTCCTTCTCTTCAAGATGTACTTAGATTTGTAATCATATTTCTGTCCATCTGCAGAGGGAAACAAAACAAACAACCTAGGATACACTGTACAGTTCAATTTGTCATATTTTTGCTTCTGTTTCACAGTGTAGTCTTTGATGATGTCTCTCAGCTTTTGGAAAGAGTGAAAATGATGGACAGATTGAAAAACTGTGTTTCCAAAACAGGGGAACTGGTTGAAAATCCAGGAAAAAAGGCAGTATTGAAACATTTTAAGTTTTCTGAAAAAAAAGAACAGGAAGAAGTGCTGAGAGCAGGAGTGCTGAATTGGGGAAGGATCCATATTTTCTGCTAATGATTTGTCAGTTTTCAGTCCTGCATTTTCATCATGCCAGTGATGAAGAGATGTCCAAGCAACACATCAAACCCTAGGACAAATTATCAACTGGGAGAGGTTTTAGCAGCATTACTGTTCATTCCCATACATCGGTTCAAGAGCATAGAGGTAGAAGCAAGGGCTGCACTGGAGAGATTTTGGAGTCAAAGAACAAGGGGAGCTGCTTTTGCACACACAAATCTTTTCTTATTTTATTCTGTGCACCTTCAATCTGGTTTACAAAGGAAATCCATTTGGTACACAAGGTACTGGAGGCATTGAGAAGCTCAGATGGTTTAAGAGTTGCCAGTACTTGCAGACTTGGGAGACAATTTTCTGAGCAAGATCTTGGCTCCAGCCAAAAGTCCACACCTGTGACTGAAAGGACCATTTGTGCAGCCAAAATAAAGTAAGCAGAAGGACTGTCTTATAATAAGGACAGTGCCACAAAGAAGAATGAAAAAGAGACCTCACCTCAGAAACAAAAAAAAAAAGTCTGGAATTAGAATTTTTATACTTTTCTATTTCTCACACCACAGCCTCTCATTTTTATCCTCAGTATCTAATATACATGGTTTCAGAAGGTATTTGGGGAACATTAAGGATCTAAAACCCATGTCAATGTGGCAGGGAGAGCCAGTAGATAGTGGTAGGTGATATTCTGATGGAACAAAAATCAGTCCATATCCCCCCATATTTGATAGCACTAGCCATGCATTTACCTCTTCTTTATTTCAGAATGTTGCCTCAGAGGGTCAGAAATGCCTCTATTGACCATGCCTGGGCAATTTATTTGTATTTTGTGGCAAAGATTTTCCTACCAGTTTAGGCTCTGCTTTATGCATCTCACTTTCCTATGGCAAAGTTCCTCTGGTATTTATGTAGCTGCAAGATGCTTCATAGCTGCAAGATGCATATGTCAGAATAATTCTACTTGATACTAATATCAACTTGATACTAATATTCACTCTTTGTTGTTACATCTTTTTCAGATCCGCTATGCTGGTGCTGCTGACAGTTCAGTCCAGTTTATCTTCTACCAGCCTATCATTCACCGATGGAGGGAAACTGATTTTTTCCCTTGTTCAGCATCCTGTGGAGGAGGTAACAATTTACCATTGTCTTCCAGAAACAGTTATTTGCATGCAAGGTCTTTTCCAGCTTCTGAGATGAGATTTAGACCCTTAAAATATGTAAAAATCTGTGCATAAATGTAGTTATACCTAAAGAGGGGAGGGATGTAGTAACAATGGTAGTAGCTTTTGCATTTTTTTAGCATCATACTAGCTCTGTACTTTATGCATTTGGATATCATTGTGACTGCATGTCATGGTACAGCTGTCAAACATGGCTCATGGGATTTGGGCCCACTTTGAAATCACAGGATATGTCCTTTCTCCATTTCCACCCATCCCCACTAGCAACATTTTTTCTCTTATCTGAAACGTAATACAAGAATCTCAGCTCCCAAGAAACTTCAGCTTTTTGTTTTTCTTTTTGCTTTAGGCTTCTGAGTTTATGTTTGACAATACTGGTTATCCTCAATTTCTCTCTACACATGGTAGAAGGGAAAGACAATTGTTCAATGTCTGCTAGATTGTGCTAGCATTTTCGGGGGATCTGAAAAAGATACCATCTAATAGGATGCATGCAAGTTTTTGCATTACGTTAACATATTCTATGACAAGTCAGTAGAGTTCTGGAACTACAGAAGTCATCAGTGTTAGTGACTACTCATACCGACATAAATTCCAGTAAGAGCAATAAGATCAGCAACCAGGTGAAAGACAAACTGCAATTTTCAGTAGATGGTAATAATCCATGATGATATTGCTATGTGTAAGTTTTGTATGATGATTTTTCCTAGGAAGTTATGCAAATTTACTATTTTTACTTTCTGGTTATATTTTTCTACTTCTTGTTCTGACAATACTAATTAAATTTGATACAAGGGGAATAAATTATTGCTGGCAAACCCACAAAAGAAGTGTAATACTCCCTTTCCTCTTGGAGAATTGGGATCCTTCTGGAAATAAGAGATTGTTGGTACAGTCTTACTCTTGTAATGTTCTATGAAGAAGACAAAGAAAGAAGTGAAAGAAGGAAAAAGATTCTCTCTGGATCAGAGAGAAAAGCAAGACAAACATTTGCAGGTTAGGTATTTGAAGTGTAAGAGATGTAGACCCCCACCACACAGAAGCAGAGCTTCTGATATCTAATGATGTGTCCCATATAGGACTGCAAATTCTCTGGACATTCTCTCTTGTGTTTTTTTTTGTGGTGTTTTTTTGTTTGTTTCAGAAGTGACCTTAGAAAAGTTATTCCTCGTGTGTACTTAATATTTTTTTTTCTTCCTGTGTCGTGTAATTTACCTGTAATTCCATCGGGTCAGGACCATGTTTTACAGCATTTTTGTGCAGTTTGACAAATGTTACTGCAATGTGGGTGTTAAGTAGTATCAACAGCTACTTGAATTCTTAATTACATTGTCCTGTGGACCTACAGTTTGCTGAAGATTCTGCTCTAGAATCTAAAGATTCTACTTTTGTCAACTGTCAGTGTATATACAGGTTTTAAGCAAGCTGATCACATTTAGTCTTGCATTCTAGAACTGGTGGTGATTCCCTTTTGAAAGACTTAGAGTGCATGAAGTTGTTCTGTAAATAAAGTTGTTTTCAATCTGATCTGTAAAACTGTAGCTGTTTTGTCCAAAATCACTGATATTTTCAGTTAGGTTTATACATAAACAAAACTTACATACATTTCAGACAGAGACAGAAAAAGCACTGCATCACATATTATTTCTTCCACTGCATATTGCAGGTTATCAACTGACTTCTGCTGAATGCTTTGATCTGAGAAGCAACCGGGTAGTAGCAGATCAATACTGTCACTATTACCCTGAAAATATCAAGCCAAAGCCAAAACTTCAGGAGTGTAATTTGGATCCTTGTCCTGCAAGGTCAGTCAGCTCTAATTAAGAGCCCAGTTTTAAAGACGTACAATACAGTAGGAAAATATTTTATTGCTACTGTTTACTGTGTAATTCAGCCTACAGCATACTTCAAACTTTTTCTCATCTTGAGGTTGTGCGTTTAGAAAAATATCTTTGTTTAGCACTTGCACTTTGCTATGACTAGTTTGAAATTGGTTGTTTCTTCCCTACAGATTGCTTTTTCCTTCTTTAAGCATTATAAAGTGTCAGGAAACAAATTGACGATCATCAACATGACTCTTAAGTGTTAGCAAGATGGAGTTTAAATGTTGCTGGAAAATGTCTGTCATCACAATGAGAGACTTTTTTGTTTGTTTGTTTCTTTGATTATTTTTTCATTTTCTGCTTGATAAAAGGCATACTTGCAGTCATGGCAGCTTGTAAAACAGTAACACAGGAATTTGCTATAATTTGGGCTTGTACACAAGACCTCTCTCTGCTCCCCTGTCAAACATTTTCATCAGAAGATTAATAGTAAAAATATTAAGATCATGGAGTCAGATTTCCCAGTTATAAGAGGAGGAACTAAACCACAAAAAGGACCAGTCCTTTGTTGCACTGACTGACTCCCCTGAACTTCAGTGGAAGTCAGTCTGTAACCACAAGCATTTATTTGTGTAATCTAAACCTCTTGGTCCTCTTGTGTGGCTTTGCTAAAAGACAGCTGAGGGCAGCCCAGGAAGAATGCACACAGGGATACCCTAAAGCCATTTACTAACGTGCTCCTCCAAGTTTGAACAAGAGAGTTCAATCAAGTGTTATCTGTTACCTGAAAAGTTACTGTGGCCCATCACATTACTCGAGGTTGCTACAGGAGAGAGGGAGAAAAAAGAAAGAATAATTAAAAATAAAAATAAAAAGCTGTCCTAGCCAAAGAAGAGCGATGTTTTAAGGGACCTCTGGGACTGTACCCGACTAAGAAGAGTTTCTTGCCAGACCAGGTATAATGGCATTATCAGAGGACAAACATGTCCAAGCTCAAAGTGGTTTTTAATTCTTCTGTAGTTCATTAAAGTTCTTTGACTTTTCACAACTGAAGATAACATATCTTCATCATTGAAGATACATTTAACCAAAGTATATGGAAATTTACACTTCTCTCTGGTAAATGCATTTTTAAAGGCAGCTCTGTTTGCAAACAATCAAAGGCAGAAATGTTAACATACAGTTCAAAATCTGGAGTGAAAATCTCCCAGAATTAAAAAGTGGAAATATCAGATCTCAGAATCTGATATCATTTCAGCAGTATTGTGCATTCTTTAACTTACATATTTTATCATGCATTTCATTAGAATGCCTTAAGGATATAATATTAAGAATAAGCTTTACTAAGGCTTTGTGGAAAGTATTTCCTGTTGAGCATGTACTCAGAAAAGATTTTTCAACATAGAGATTGCTTTCCTACAATGCAACCAGACCATTTTTTTCTTTAATAATGTTTTGTCAAATTCAATATCTGGCTTCTTTTGTTCTAGTGCATTCCACATAGAACACATGTTTCATTGCTCAGGCTATTTAAATATATAAATAGTTGCAATTCGAAACTTTACTATAATAAAGAAACTTTGCCATAATAAAGTTGTTTTGTTTTGTTTTGTTTTCTTCAGTGATTTTCTCAAAAAAAAAACTGTCTTTGAATGTTTTGAAACTAATCTCAGTAAGGTAGATGGCCAGGTATGATCAGGTAGGAGACATAAATATGAATGTCTTAGAAAACATAATTGCTGAAAGATGCAAATTAATTTGGAACCTTTCTTTTAGATCCTCCATGGTAGCAATGAGAAAACAATTTTAAGTATCTTTTTTTTCTGTAAAGAATGAGCTGATTTTTTTTTTTTTTTTTTAATATAGTTCTGTGTCAAGTATGCAGTTTGCCTCTGGAATTTATTCTAAGGATATTTTCCATACTTTTCCCAATAATTTTAAATGACATGCTTAAATTTTAGGACAGACAACTGCATGCTGCATGGAGGGAAAGAGAGAAAAAATAGCTGCTGGACAGATGTCAGGAAATAATTTTTGTTTTGTATAAGACATAGCAAGGCAAAGTTGTTGATATAAAGACCCTGAGGGAAAGGAGAGTCATTTAGAAGCATAGCTATACCATCTCAGGGTACAGGAAGTAACAAAAGGAAATTGGCTTTTTGGAAACATCTTCCCAGAATGCCAAATTGAAAAAGATTGTTTTCAAAAATGTCTTTAAAAAGAATTCAAGAATCAACAACACAGACAGAAAACCAAAGGAAATCTGTGGTAATTTCTGGAATTCTCAATGCTTTCTTATGGTCAGGAAGAGGGTAGGTGAAGCAGAACAATGGGGTTGGGACTAAGAGTGAGGAGGCGTCTCAGCTCTGCAATGCATTTGCCGTGTGTCAGCCACTCTGCTCCTCCACTATAAAATGGTGATTTTTTTTTTTCTGGCAAACCCAATTTTCAGTGAGGCATCACTGATTAGTGGTTGCTGACTTATTTATGATGTGTCAGTGAATGCCAGAGAAAATAATTGTGGAAGACCACAGTGGCATTAAATAAAGCAACCAAGGCAACCAAGGGTTACTGTAGGAGAGGGGAGGGGTTGCATTAAAATTTTCAGCAAAGGGCGGAGTGAAAGAAGAGATCAAATGAATACCAGGACTATCATGTAAACCAGCAATAGAAACTTTTTGCATTATTGTGCTCATTATGGCAATAAGTAGCAATATTGCTGGCATTATAATGAACGAATGATTGAGGAAATTATTTATTTATTTATTTATTTTTCAAACTCAGTTTTTCACATACTCAGAGGAGAAGCAGGTTTCAACAACATTGTCTAGTCTACCCGCTCTTCGATGTGGCAAAATCCAACATTTCCGGAGTTCAATGAATTACAAGTCTTAACCATCCAAGACTTCACAAGGTGGACAGTTTGGGGGAGGGTTTTTGGCTGCCATCAGCTGGTATCTTCTAATGAAAGGTGAAGGATTATTGTTCTGCTTTGAGAAAAAGTTTGTTTAGACTTTACTTAACTGGATGTGCTGAACACTTACACAGAACAAATCTCATATGCTGTAAACTGAACATGCCATTCCTTTTATAATTCAAAAGCAAAAAGAAATTCCAAAAAGAAATTTTCACAAAGATGTGAAAGGTTTTTATGCCACTCACCATTCTGTGATACTCTCTGGATCAACATCATCTCCTCCTCTAGATTTCATCTTCAGGTCTGAGGTCATGTTTCAAGCAACATTGTTCTGTGTTTTTACCAATGAGATCTATTGTTTACGTCCTGCCTATCTCTGCAGCACATTAATGTGGGATTCTCTGAGTCACATAATTCTAATGATGTTTTTTTTCAATACTGTATAAAGACGTAGCAAAGATTCTAATTTCATGCAGCAGCTGTCTCAAAACCTTTATATTAGCAAGCTTGTAACATGTGGGATTCTTTTTATCACTTTACAGTAAATGTTAGTCTGATCTGCACAGCCATAAATCCTAGTATTTGCCTAGAACACTATCTGTAAGCCTACTACCAGAAATAATGTTAGAGCTTCTGGAAATATATATATATATATATTTATATATATATATATATATATATACACATATATGTATAGATATATTTTAAATCTCTAGCTCAAGCAAAACTCTACACCCAAAAATCTAAAAGAATTCTCAAATATGAATAGCTTGTGTAGTCCTGCAGCAAAACTGCAAACTCATTTTCCTCCCATGAAAGTTTTTCTTTTGGCATTCTCACTTAACTATCACTATTACTTAACACCACCTTTAGCTGGTGCCAGAGGCAGGCCTAAGCAAAAAGAAACTTAAATTTTAATAAAATTTTACTTTTTTAATTGTTAATTTTTAGCTGATCTAAGAAGAGCAATGCAGTATAAGTCAAAGCACACAAAAGTCTGGATATTAATCCAGAGGAATGAGAAATCACTTCATAGTATAAGTCGTCAGTGATCCTAAGGTCCAATACACTTAGTGAAGTAAATTATATACAGTTTATTGGGCAAAAGTGTAAATGATAACTTTTATATACTTCATTCAAGAGAAAAAGAAGTAGCAATGAGTAAATAAGTATGATTAAAAAGGCAACACTAAATATCCTTTCATTCAGTAACAGAAGTCTCCTTACGTCATTACAAATTGGCAGCTGAAGCAGAAGATTGACAATTGTATAATTTTTAGCTTGTTATCAACATCTCATTGGTATTAACGTAGACATCAGTTAAGACACAACTATTGCGTCAGTGCAGGGTTCCTATTTTCAATATATTATTTTTGGAAAATGAATGAAACTGGAGTGCTGGTATGTTTCTTAAAAGATGGACAGCACTCTGATTTACACAGTAGCAGCCATAGATCTGCAATGATGAGAAGGGCCTGAGATGACTCATTTACTGTTATTGCCCTCAAGTGAGACATATGAAAGATTTTAATTTTGTTTTGAATACTGTTTCACATAAAATATCCCATACTTACTGCAGATACTGGGCTTTTTGACAACATCCCAGCTTTTTGCATGGATGTAGGACACTGGCCATGACAATGCCCTTTCCAGATCTTTGCCTCAGGCAAATGGTCATTTCTGTGAATTTGCATTCTTACTTAAATTCTTAATTTGTTACAGGGGAGGTTAGAAAGACTTTCTGTCTTGCAGTTTTGTCTGAACTTTGGTTGCCTCCAATTGCTGGATCTGGTCGGAATTTTCACAGCCAATCACATACATAAGAAAGTTCCTAAAAACAGAGAGGCTTATCAGCTAGAGCCAGCAGTTCCATGGGCAGATGGGACATGAAGGTTTTAAAACAGAAGGGGAGGGGAATAAAAAAAAATAAAAATAAAAATAAAAAAAAAAGCCTTTTGCACCAGCATGGCTGAATATGCATATGCTAGAAACTAATACCAATAGATACTGTTAATAGCAAAAAGTATGCTGCCTGCAAATTAGAGAGCACAGTCAACATCAGTCA